TAAATTTTATACGACATAACTTTCATCATGTAAATAATTGCATGATTGCAGATGTTTATATATATTTATAAAAAATTTAAATATACAAAAATATAGAAAATGCACGATATACGAAAATTGATACGATTGTTTCATAAAAATTTCAATTCGCACAATCTCGTAAATAATATTCAAAACTTTAGAAACAATCATTCCACGTCGTGCACCAATTAACTCAACACATTATTATTTACTTTATTATTCCTCAAACTCTTATTCTTATCGCACATAGAGAACGTGATATTTTTTTTTCATCATAATCGAGGAGAAAAGAAACGGAAACGCGACCTCGGTGTCATGTAATTTTTCCACCTTCGAAAATAATTTGCTCGATAAACAATTTAGATAAACGATTCTGTCTATCTGCGTACCCCTTCTCCCGTATTTATTACCGCTTCCACTTAACGTTATACTAATAACAATAATTTGCGAATCCACCTTCAAGTTAACTAATGAGATATTTAGTATGCACGGTATTGCCCACCGCCTCCCTCTTCCCCTTCTCTCCCTCCTCCTGGTCGTGCTCACCCGTTCATTTACCTTTTTTAAGTCGGCCAAAGGAGGGGAGGGAGGGGGACGACGGTAATTGCGCGCCGCTATAAATTATCCTCAAGAAGCATTGGACGTGCGTCATTACCGGCGAGCAGGCGATATTGTCGCGTTTCGGAGTGATATCGGCGCGAATAAAAGGAATCGATGATTTCACGATTGAAATTACTGGTGCGGGGAAGTGAGTTGTCCGAAAGATTTATATACGAAAACAGGATCGAGCACCCTACGGGCCACTGTATCTTATCCCGGAAGGGGGTAATCTTCGATCGAATTACTACTTTTTTTTTTCTTACTCTTCTTGTTGTATAAAAACTGTCTGTATAGGGCTAATGTATTTTCTTCTTCTTCTTCTTCTTCTTCTTCTTCACCACCACTGTTTACATACTGATCGATCGATCAAAAATTCGAATCATTTTTGCACATATATAAATATGCACAATCTGGTATTGGTATTTATTATGTTATTAATCCTTTATTTTTTTTTTTTTTATTCTTTTTCTTCTTCCCCACCACTTTTTTCATACTGATCGATCGATCAAAAATTCGAATCATTTTTGCACATATATAAATATGCACAATCTGGTATTGGTATTTATTATGTTATTAATCCTTTATTTTTTTTTTTTTTGATTCCGTTCAGAAAACAATTCGTCGCCGTAAATACTTAACGACAATGAT